ATAAATGATGTGAAACAGTTATGGCCACTGAGCAGCATCTCCCCAAAACACAAAATCTCTAGCAGAAGTTATGAGATTATCAATATGGCTTTATCCCTATTCTAGGGTATAGCTATTTCTTTAGCTTAGCAGTCTATCCATCTTGTCTCAAGAAACCTGGAGGTAATACAGTTGTTGTTTTGACTGGAAAGAGTCCTCCTCCCTCCTTTTGCCATAACTGGTCCATTGTGGCTTAGAGGGGTTTCTGTCTCTACAATACTTGTCAGATTTTGTATCGTCTTATGATGGGTTAGCTTCAGATCACTGATATTTGCTTCATTTTTTTATTTCCCCCTTTGTGTGGATTTATGACATTCCACTTGTCACCTTCTTAAACTTGCATTTTGCGAGGTATTTTGGAGGAGAGAAATGAGACATGACAGAGCGAAGGGTAGAGATTTATGCAAGTATTTATTTAAGGTTTGAAAATTTCAGTGGGGGGAAAGAAAATAGTTGTTTTTCTCCAATACAAAAGTGGGGTCCAAGGATGGTAATTTGGGTCTTACATATTCAGTGAGCGTCTTTGTTCCTGTACATTCGTTCACATTTAATGTTCAGTCCATGTACGTAATAGTTCAACTGTGCAAATCAGCAGTGTGCACTCTTTCACACAAATATTTGTGTTCAGTGTGATGTGTGAACAAGCCTAATGTCACACACATATGGGGAAAGGAATGTTCAGTGAGCTGACTGTGAACAAGGTGAAACTATCAAGATGAAACCGTTAGGGTGGGACATATTGCCTCTAAAAAAATTGACAGAGATCCAAAAGTTCACACAACTACCAACATTTTTTTATGGTTCTGCTGTTCTTTATGTTCCCTCAAATGCTGGGTCTAAGGATCAGGAGACTCTCCAGAGTGGCATTTGATGCATTAAGAAGGACTGTAGTGGAAAGGGAAGTTAGCATATGCAAAGGGAGGTGGGGGTCAGTCTCAGCAATTTATGTGGCAGGGGATAAGCATACTTGGCAGTATTAATACAGCATTCATTTCAGCCAGCTGATTTATTCTATTCATATATAGGATTCTTGCTTTGTGACCTACTGTTGTTCTCATGATGCAGCATAGATTATGAAATGCCTACATGGGTAGCAGGGAAGATGCTGATACTGGGCCACCTGTGTGATTTTCCAGCAAATGTTTCTCTCCTTTTCTCATCTTTGCGAACAGCTTTCAAATGAAGCTTCATGGGAAGGGAGGGAAGACTATTTTTGTGTGTGACTCCCTTTCTGCCACCTGAGGAACTACAGAGCTGTCAGCCCCTGATAATCGCCAGTAACCTGTGTTTATCTACATTACCTGGTCAATTTGAGAAAGGTCATTTTGGGTTTACTGCAAGCCATTCTTCATTTGGCTTTATTGTTTCAGCATTGATCTGAGTCACTCATTCCAGGCAGATCCTTGTTGCACAAGGTCTTCCCGGTCTACCTGTTCTCTATTTGTGAATAGAGCAGGGAAGATGAAGAACAAGGAAAAAAGGGGGTGTCCTTTACCTCCAGGAGCGAGTATGTTTGCTGGGGGTGAAATTGTTTGTACCCAGATGTACACTTAATCAAGATTTGCATGGTTTCTCTTTTCTTGATTGGAAGCATAGCAATCTAGGCCCTGCAGGAGCTTGCTCCATGATGACAGTAGGGCACAGAGCACATGGCAGTGTTTCGGAATGTATGCAAGATGCTCCTCTGGTCCTTTCTTGTAGAATGGAAGCACAGCCTGTTTTGGTGCTTTGCACAGTACCCACCAACACACCTTCTGGGTCCAGCTTTCCTTTATGAATTCCATCAGATTAAGGAGGGGATGAGGATGAGGAGAGGCCAATGATGGAATCTTACCCCCACATCTTAAGGGCCATCAGCATAGCCCTTTCTCTCTAGTGGTGAGACATGATTGTACACACAAAACTTTATAATAAGGACTTCTATGACTTTTCAAAGGAAAGTGGGGCAAAGCTACAATGCACTTACTTACTTATCTAGTACAGTAGTACCTCGGGTTATGAACTTAATTCGTTCCCGAGGTCCATTCTTAACCCAAAACCGTTCCTAACCTGAGGCACGCTTTCACTAATTGGGCCTGCCACTGCCGCCGCACCGCCAGCATCCGATTTCCATTCTCATCCTGGGGCAAAGTTCTCAATCCAAGGTACTACTTCCAGGTTAGCGGAGTTTGTAACCCGAAGTGTTTGTAACCCAAGGTACCACTGTATAAGATGCTGCAGCTAAAAGGCATTGAACTGCTCCTTTAAGTTTCCTCCATTGTGAGGTACAGTGGTATCTCGGGTTGAGTACTTAATTCGTTCTGGAGGTCCGTTCTTAACCTGAAACTGTTCTTAACCTGAAGCACCACTTAGGTAATGGGGCCTCCTGCTGCTGCCGCTGCTGCCGCAGGAGCACGATTTCTGTTCTCATCCTGAAGCAAAGTTCTTAACCCGAGGTAATGTTTCTGGGTTAGCGGAGTCTGTAACATGAATCATATGTAACCTGAAGTGTATGTAACCCGAGGTACCACTGTATTCTTAATTTTAAGCTTGGTGGCCATCCCCCCCAACCTCAATTCAGATATTACAGAGCCAGAATTTATTGCATTAATCAGAGATAAGTAATATTTTCCAGATTTATTAGTACTGTTTTCTGCCTACAATATCTGCAGATGGTAGGAGAGAGATTAAGTGCTTTTTAGGCACTTCGTTTTTTTACTAAAAGTTTTGTGTTTGCATACACATGGTAGTATATTGGTAAAGGTTTATTAAATTCAGCTATGTGTTGAATATTGTATAACGATTGTCCATATTTCCACTATGAAATTAGCTGAATATTGTCTGCATTTGCCTATTGAAATGCTCAAAGCAGGTTTTTACTTAAATCTGGGTAGTTGTTTATTGTTGTCAGATGTTTATGGAGCATCTGTGAGTTAAGTGATGCAAACTTCAACATACAATTGGATCAGATCCACTTTCTGTTCTGCATCACCCACTGTGATCAATAATGTTGGAAAATATAAGCACTATAGTATATGTTTCAGTGTATATATACAGCCCCTCGTTAACGACTGTGGAGTAATACTGGTCAAACTGGTGATAGTTTTGTTTATGTATTTATTTTATTTATGTAATTATTACATTTATATACCACCTTTTATCTTCCAAGGACCTCAAGGTGGTGTACATGTTTCTCCTCTTTCCCATTTCACCCTCACAACAACCCTGTGAGGTAGGTTAATCTAAGAGATGGTGGCTGGCCGAAGGCTACCCAGTGAGCTTCATGACTGAGTGGGGAGATCTGAGCCAGAGGTAATAAAATATCTGTGCCACAGTTGATATCACGCCATTCTCCATGGAACTAACACAGCCAAAAAGGCAAACAAAAACTATGTGAGAAGCTGTCTCATTACTCATTTTTTTATACCTGCAATACCAGACAGTGACCACTGTAGGTGAGGTTTATATACCTCTCCAATGGCAGAAAACTACAAAATGTGATTCTTGGGCTTAAATGTACCTGTGTGGAAAAAGAAAACACTATTTTTCACTTTGTTGTGCCGTACACCTAACAAGAAAAACTCCATATGCTGTAATATGGAGTACTTAAATCCATCACTCCAATGATTTATGGTATCTCTTAGGTAATTATTTTATTATGCTTTCCCCTAGTTGGAGGTGTATAGCAGAACAATGCCCAGCAATCTTTTATTCAGTCCAGTAGTTTTAAATGGCAGTAAATAAATTCTTCTGCTTTTTGCATAGTTACCAATATCAGCTGTCAATTCTCTGTTCTGGCAATAAATTGTTCCTGAGAAATCACAGTGGCAACAGATCTAAGCTGATCAGCATTGTCTAGGCACACAACAAAATATAACGCCTCTATGGAACCAAATCCTTTTTTGTTTTGTGAATCAACAGTACGCATACACTTTGCACTCCCTCAATTTATGAATCGTTAACACAAACAGCAGATATTGACACATTCTCCACAGTAAATAAAAGTATGTGACAGGAAGTTTTAGATGCAATAAATATGGCTCTTTAAGCCACTCATATTTTACTGCTAAAAATAGTTTGCTTAAAAATATATACAGTAACTGACGAACCATTATAAATGTACAGTGTCGAGGCAGAATGGTTTTAAATGAAAATCAGCTATGGGTTATTTTTAGTTCATTAGTTCAAAAAATTTGAGAGCCACAAGCCTTGAATTTGGACATTCTTAAAGTATTTTAATTTTTAAAACAAAACTGGGATCCACTTCTGTACACATTATATTAAAGGGGAAACCTAATGTAAATTGTATTACTCTGTTTTTGTTTATTAAGTGCCAACACTCATCATGAATTAATTTATTTTTCTCCAGCGGATTCTATTTAAGTAGATTTATGCACTTTTCATTTTCAAAAGAATTCACAAGGGCCAAGGCCTGTCCCCTCTCAAGGGGTGGACCGCTAGCTGGGCAGGTAAGCTCTTTGCTATAGCTACCATGCCTTAGGGTGTCAGAAGTGAGCTGCTCTCCTCAGAAATCAGGGGCTTCCAGGCCCACAAACCTGTTTCAATAGGGGGAAATGTAGCATATCCAACCTGCCTCCAAGTAAAGCTATACTTAGGAGGGAAATGGTGCTTCCATTACTGAGCATGTACTTGGTATCAGCAATATGCAAAGGTACAGCAATTTTGTGGTCCCTGGCCAGCCATCTTACAGTTGATTGGCAAATGATTTGGGTTTAGTTTGCAATGCACTAGATAAATCAGCAACTTAAGTGGGGCAGAGGCATCTTTTAAACTGGGTCAAGAAGATTTGCAGTCTTTGAATTTTTAGTTTAACACAAGTATGTTTAAAATTCATCCAACAGAAGACAACAGATCTGGAAAGTCAAAGTTTAAATTATGGAGAGTCTGTTGATCAAAGCTTTGTAGGTGCTGTCCGTATTTTATACCTATCCATTTTATACCTATCCATTTTGGTATTTGTACAGCTCAGTGGTAGAGCATCTGCTTTGCATGCAGAAGATCCCTGGTTCCATTCGCAGCATCTGGAGTTAGGTCTGGGAGAGACTCCAGCCTGACACCCTGCAGAACCATTGCCCATCCAGTGTAGACAATCTCTTGAGTGCAATATGCAAGACTTCTAGTTGTTCCACACGTCTCTTTCATCAGACTGTGTGATCTTATGAATAGTAGTGGTAGTTCAGAGAGGTAACTATGGGCTTATCCACACTTACTTTTCTTCTGTGCTTTCCAGGCATGGTCCAAGCTTTAAAGTTCCATGTCTGAGTGCCCCACCTTTCCCCCCCCCTCCAGTTTTCTCCATGAAAACCCACTCTTTAAAGCTTAATCAGAAGAAACGGCAATCCACAGAAAACCCAAATTGACGTTTGCTCTGATTGAGTGCGAAAGAGTGCTTTTTTTTTGCAGGGAAAGCTCCAGGGTAAAAAGTTCAGACCTGAGCCTAGAAAGAGTGGGGCAAAAGGTAAGTGTGGATAGCTTTATAACGTGTAGCACATTTTACAAGGGCTGAAAGCACTTCACATCCTTGCAACAGTCTTCAAAGTAGTTCTAATAATAGTTCTGCTTGTGGGCTTCCTCGAGGCATCTGGCTGCCCATGCTGAGAACAGGCTCCTGGACTGGATGGGCCTTTGGCCTGACTCAGCAGGGCCATTCTTACAGTGTTCAAAAGAACAGTCCTCCCAGTGCAGGGAAATAAAGAAATACTGGGCTGGTTCAGACAAAAAGCTGAATCATACTCTAGTGTTATGAGAATGAGCCTAGGGAAGCCTCAGACTCATCTGCTTCCTTTCTCCCTCTCTGGTGCAGCTAAAAAAAGGCCATGGGAATGTTTATTCTGTTTTAGATTACGGTAATCACAGCTTGCTGTTTCTTTGAACCCAACAAACAGTGGTCAAGCTTAACCACAATTTGTTGTAAGAATCCCACCATCCTGGATCGTTGGCCATACTGGCTGGGGCTGATGGGAGTTGGAGTCCAACAACATCTGTCAGGCAGGCTGAAAAGAAGCTGGTTTGTTTCAACAAACCATAGTTAAGGTTAACCACAGTTTTGTTCTGTTTTTGCTGCAGACATCATGCTAAACTCTGATTAATCTAAAATGGAAGATGAAGCTTCCAATCTCTTTCATTTGGCCATATGGCAGGAGGTCCATATCCATCAACTGTCCCAATTTTAGAAGGACACTCCCAGATTTACAGAAACCATCCTGACTTTTGATTTGACCTGGGAATGTCCTGCTTTTGCCCTCCAGCGTCGCAGGGAGGAGGATGAACTAGCACTTGTCCCGAGCTTCTCCATGGCAGCTGGCTGGAGCAGAGAGGATTTCACAGCACACCCCGAGGCTGGGACTCCCCTCAGGGGGCAGCAACTGCAACCCCACTGCAGCTCAAGCACAGTCCCTTCCCTCTTTCCTCTCACACACCCGCTGCACACTTCCTCATGCGCATGGATGAGCAGGCAGAGCAGTCATGGGAGGGGTGAAGGGAAAGAAGGGACCAGGGGTGTATGTGCATGCGCGTGCACTCACACGTGCTCCCACCCTGAGGTGATAGTAGCAACTGTGGCAAGCCAGGCAAAGCTCGCTTATAGACAAGTCGAGTCAGAAACTGCCTTCCCTTCCCTCTGGAGTGTGTGAGCTCCTTGACAGTGCTTTCTTGGCTGCATCTGTTTGTCAAGATCATCAGACCCAAGTGGTGGAAGGGGCTGTGTTTGGTGCTGAGTGAGAATTGCAGGAAGGGCTGGGTGTTGTTTTCTTTCCCTCTACCACCTCCAGTTTAAGTGTGGGAGTTTGGTTTCTACGTGGTTCTTCATTGTGAGTGGAGGAATCGGTGGCTCAGCTTTTGGTCACACAGGTCTGGGTGGGAATGATAGAAGCCTGGGGAATGCTGAATTGTGGGTGGGCGGGTGCCTCTGAATCCTGGGGGTTGCTTTGCAGTCCAAGCTATCTCTGTACCCTCATTGAATGCGTTTCCATGTCTCCACCCTTGCTGCATGTCGCTGCATTGCCCCCTCACCTCTGGGTGTGAGGGGATGGCAGTGGCTTAGGTGGAAAGCAGCTGAGGTCTCAAGAAGGGAGAGGAGAGTTGTGGCAGGAATCCTAGTGCTGCTCCAGAAAGACAGTCAGATTGAGTCCTTCCTGACCAACACCTCCTGTTGTGGTTTTGTTTTCATTTGTGGGGAGGGGGTCCTGCTCTGTCATCATTCCCCCATTCTCTTGCTCTCATAGGTTTGGTGTAGGGAAGTAATAAGTTCCCCCCACTCCTTTCCCACACGTACCTTCTGTCAGATGTTGCTCTTGGATCCTCTACCTCTAGCCTGCATGGGGGAATGTTTTCTGCCTCCCTTCCACTCCCCTCAACACGCTCCAACCTGACTTAATAACAACAGCGCAATGCAGAGTGTTTAAGTTCTTGTTACATTGGGGGGTGGAGAGGCTCTGTCTTTCCTCATCCCTTCAGGTTGTGACTAAGCAAAATCATAAATAATGAGCACCCCAATTTTAATTGGCAGCATGTTGGAGGGTATGGAGCATGGGTAGGCAAACTAAGGTCTGGGGGACGGATCTGGCCCAATCTGGCATGTTTTTACATTAGTAGAATGTGTCCTTTTATTTAAAATGCATCTCTGGGTTATTTGTGGGGCATAGGAATTCATTCATTCCCCCCCCCAAAAAAATATAGTCTGGCCCCCACAAGGTCTGAGGGACAATGGACTGGCCCCCTGCTGAAAAAGTTTGCTGGCCCCTGGTATGGAGTCTTAGAATGCTAACTATGGCTTAGCAGTTTGTGTGTACCAGGCCAAGGGCATGTCTAAGGCTGTCTATTCAAATCTCACTGCACTGAGATTTGAACTGGGAGGACATTTTGGCTATCATTTCACACTCACAGGGTGGGATTGAACTAATGAGTAGAAATCCTGAATAATGACCACCACCACCCCCTGCATATACACTCTTGACAATTGGGGAGAACTCCAGGTATAGCACACAGGGGGAAGGTAGGGGTTTCGTTCCATCTGGTAAGCTGAAATGTTTGCCTGAGGGACCCCTTTGCTTTAGTGCAACATTGATTCCACCCACAGAAAATATAACACCCCCCCGCCCGCCTCTCTGTAGCATTATTCCTGGCCGTTGGGATAACCCAACAGATACTCTTCAACAGCTGTTGAAGGGTGGTTGGAATATGTTTTCCTCTTTTTTTAGTATTTTGCTATCATACTGAGGAATTCCCCAGGGAGAATTACATGTGGGAATACATAACCTGAGAGTTCCTTTTTTAATTGGAATGTATTCAGAAGCAGGAGTGAACAGTGACCTGCTTGGGCATGTTTATCCTTTCAGTTCAGTTAGTTTAGCAAAGCACAGGGTGAATCAAAGCGACTATCAGAATTGCCCTGTTTTCTTCATCCTTCATATTAATAATTTGGGTTTTGGGGATTTTCACTCAAGCTGTACTCAGGAGAATATCCTACTGATTTTTATTATTATTTATTTATTTGCTGGAGCAGAATATGGAAGGAGGAAAAACAGAAAGAAAAAGCAGATTCTCATTTTTACTGCAGCGATCTGCAGCTTAAAATTAAGGCCCATCCTGCCATCTAGTGATGAAATATATATATATATACCAGCCAGTTGTGGGTGTGACTAAAACACCTATTGAGGGGAAATTTAGAAAAACAACGTGAAGTAACAGCAAATGATGCTGAACGCTCTGTGCTCTTTCACTTGGTGTGACAGAACTGTGCTAGGAAATATGGAAAAAGGAATAATGCATTAAAGTGTCAAGCTTCCTGGGTCTTAAAATGAAGCTTATCTATAGAAGCAAAGCACCTTTGCTGGTTTCAGCATTAATCGTCTAATACAGCTCTTCATACTGATTATTTGCAGATCTCTCCAGACAGGCAATTTTGCATTTTGGCTTGGGAAATTTTCATATGTGCTGGTATGGGCACCCATATCAAGGAGGCAGCAGTAATTTTTATACAGGTTTTTATCTTCCCACCCCACCCCTGGCAATCACACCAATTAGGTGTATCACAGCACAGCAGTGTTTTGGCTGAAACCAGGAGTGACGCAGAGCCCTGAAACTTATCCACAATCCAGAGAAGTACATAGATACATCCATGGGGAATCCCCATTCTTCTTCGTCCCTCAACCCTTGTGCCATTTTCAATGTGCTTTTGGGAAAATTTGATATATTTTGTATATGGCACCTCAGTGCTAAACCTGTTGGCCATGATCCAGCTCCAGTCATATGTAACTAGTAGTACATAATGTCAAGTAGCTCTGGAAGGGTACACCATAGAGCACATTAGTGGGCCAGCCCATTTAGTTTCATCGTGATGTTGTACCAATAGGGGAACCTTTGAACTTTTATCTTCAGCACTACAGCATAGCGCTACAAAGCTGTGTTCCTTAAGCAGTTTTCATCAACCTAGTGCCCTACAGATGTTTTGAGCTGCATTTTCAATCAGCCCCAAACAGCCCAGTGAATCCTTACCTACAGACTGGAGATTCAGCAGCCTGGCATTCACTGTTACTGTTTACATTATTTTTTTTTAATGGTGCATTAAAGTCCAGGAGGAGCCCTATGGTTGCATGCCTTCTCTCCAACACACGCATATTACAATGTAGGCATTACACCTTAATGCATCTTTAGACTGTGATTGTATGCCCACTGCCTTAAAGTCACTGGAGATCAAATATGGATTAAGTCATTGTGTTTGGTCTATTATGAAGTTCTGTAAGCACAGGGCATTTCTTGTTGCTATATACCGTATTTTTCGCCCCATAAGGCGCACCGGCCCATAGGACGCACCTAGTTTTTTGGGGGGGAAATAAAGGGGAAAAAAATTTATTCCCTCCCCCAGGCACGGGGCTGGGGCGGGAAGCTGTCCCCCGAGCTTGTGGGGCTGGTGGCGGGGAGAAGCAGGCTTCTCCCGCCGCCAGCCTTCTAACCAAGTTGGGGGACAGCGGGAAAGGCGCACTGCGCCTCTCCCACTATCCCCCGAGTTTGCGGGGCTGGCGACGG